TTGCTATAGACCTATATTTGCTCAATTTTGCTGTATTTCAAATAACTAATATATACTTCTTAAAAATGCGTAATGCAGTCTAATGCAGTATCCAACAAAGGTGAACCCCGGAAAATCCTAGGTGGGAAAAATCTGACCGTGGCTCGAGCCACTTTTGCAAACGTCCACGACATCCAATAGTTTTCCCATCCAGGGTTTATTTTAACGTGCAGTTCTACACAAAATGTGCAGTTCTAAGCCCCATTTGTGCAGTTCTTAAGAGCGAAGGTCCACTAATATCGAGCGTCAGCCGGTCACGCTCAAAGTTTCGATTTTGCTCATTTTTGGTTTGCAGGAAGGCATTACCAAGTAAACAAACGTGATGTAGTTTGTTTTTCAAAAAACCGCTAAAATTCTGAGAAATCCGAGAAAAACGATTCAACTGTCGGCGGCCTAAAAAATATGCAAATTTTCAATTGAATCGAACAGGTTAAAAAACAACTAACGCATGCAGAATTGGAAAAGATTTGAAAACTGTACGTTTGTAAATCGATGGAAGAGATGTTTGAGACTCGATTGAGTATAAAATCATGATATTAACTATTAATTAAAACCAGACAGCTGATATTTAGAATCGTATGGTATTCACACATAGCTAAAATTACAATCTACCGTTGCCACGCCAAAACCATTTTAACTAAGTGCCCCAGATTTTTTCTACACGAAACGTACGCCATTAACTAATCAAATGTTCTTCTAGAACATATAAAAAAATTAGTCTGGGTTATTGTATTTAGAGTTCGTACGGAGGCCGTGAATATTGGGTATTTTCGCATATAGCGTGACTGAAATCGACAAATGTTTTGTTCCTTCCGGAAGTTCCGGTTGCTATTTTCTCATATTAAATAGTTGTTATTTTCATCGGGAATTAAACCCGAAAATACATTTCCTTAAAAATGGCTATTATTAGCAATTTACATGGTTTTAGCAGTCACAGCAATAAGACTAAGTAGATAGTGCTATGACCGAGATCATTTCTGTACATTTTATACCGATTACATGGAGAGTTTTCAGCCTGGGCTGAATTTCAGCCCGGTAAACCGATCCGAAATAGCATCACGATTACATGGGCAGTTTGAACCTGGGCTGAGTTTTAGTCAGAGCAATATTTATTCCTTGTATAGTATTAAAACAAACCCGGGATGAAATGTCATCCCGGCCTGAAATCATACGATATCACGAAAGGCAATATTCCGCTTGTTTGAGCATTTAAAACGCCGATTAGTCGACTATTTGACTTGTGTAAGACTGTGGTTGCATATATAAACTATAAAGTATGAAAGATAAGACGAAATGCAAAATAAAGCCATTTAAACGATTGTTTTTTTTACCCTGGGCTGAAATTATTTGCAATTACATGGGATATTTCATCCCGGTTGACAGGGCTGAAAATCTCATCCTGGGTGACATAAACCGGGATGAAAATTTCAACCCGGCCTGAATTTCAGCCCTGTCAACCGGGATGAAATAATCGCAAATAATTTCAGCCCGGGCTAAAAAACAATCGTTTAAGTGGCTTTATTTTGCATTTCGTTTACACTTCGAAATGTTTTCCATATAATCGTAAAATTCATATTATATTGGAATTTATAGGGGCCCCGGGCTGAAATTTCATCCCTGTTTGCCAGGCTGAAATTTCATCCCGGGCTGAAAACCTCCACGTAATCGGCCCCTTACTTTAACTAAAGACAAAACTTAGCACATTTTCACTAAGCTATAAAAGAAGGGTGACTTCGAAATTATTTTCAGTTTTCTTTAATTGTTAGTTTGCATGTGGTTTGGCTGAACATGCTCAGAGGACAGAGAAATTGTAATAAAATTCAGTGGTGGTTAAAACTGAAACTTTCTGCTCAGTTTTATGGCCTTTTTCTCATTACATATTTCAGTTTGTTGGGTTTGTTTTTGCTATATTGCAGCTTGAAATCCTAAACACTTTTGTGGTGGAAAGTAAACTATCAGGTAAGAGCGCCGGTTTGTCTTGAGACAGCGATCGGGCGATGTAATTAACGTGTAAATCTCGTATCTGGGAAAGTTTGATACTGCATGTCTAAAAATAGATTTTGCCAAGGTCTGGCCACAGAATAAAGATCAGTACCAGAAGGGCCACTCAGCGGTGCAACGTGTCGCCATTTTTCTATGCAAAAATATGCTGTTGACTGGCCAGACGGCGGGGCCTTCAGCCAATACAGCGCGTTTATTGGCCAGAAAATGGAATCGACTGGCTAGGAAGATGGCGGCCAGGGTGCCCTTCTGTGTGCCTTATTCTGTGGTCTGGCCGTCATGGATATAAAGTGCTCCTTTTTCGCAATAGTTGGTGGTCATTGTGGCCATGATACTAGAGTTAAAAACAAATTAAAGCATCAGAATGCGTTCAGTTGTTAAGTTGTAATCATGATATTACAGGGAATAAATCGGAAAACATTGAGCAATTCGAAATAAAATAGTTTTGTTTGTGGAAACACCACGTAAATTTATATACTGCAAAGCTTTCGATCCGTCAGCCCGGATCTTCATCAGTGCACATATTATTAGGAGGGTCTTAATGGGGGTCTTTGGGTGTCAGTTGTCAGCGAAAATTTAAGCCAATTGTCAGTTGTCAGTGCGATATATTGCAAGCTGTCAGTAGTCAGTTACTGCAAAATGCTGAATTATAATTTTTTTATCATTTCTCAGTAGTCAGTTAGGATATTTTGTCAGTTGTCAGTCAAAAATTCAGGCAAATGTCAGTAGTCAGTTAACCCCATTCAGACCCTCAAGAAAACCTATAGTTCCGTGCATGCCCTCTATTCTTCGCGCCGCCCGTAACCCAGGGCCTGTTCGCAGGCTAATGCGTTGCGAAATCTTTGAAAAATTTATGTTTCTTTTGTCCAAATTGGACGAGAAAGCATACTATTGCCTATTAATAATCATATACATAAAAAAATTATGTAGAAGCAATTGATGGCATGCATGAAACACGTGAGATAAATAATTTACTCACTCATTGAATGGCAAAATGTATTCTGTTTTGTCTCTTGCTACATACCTCTGTTTTGCCATTAATTGCATGTATATCGATAAAATTGCTCTCATCTTAGCTAATCAAAATCGAGTAATTTTCCATGTATATTATTATAACAGTAACGCGATCTATCATGTGTAGCCTATTTAGTAAAATAACTTATTTTTATAGTGAAGACAAACTTCCGAGTTCCGATCATTCATTTTCCATCAGTTCTGATCGGAACACAGCGTCCCAGTGCATCGCTACTAGTTAGCTGTAGCCAATAAGTTTCTGAAAAATATTGTACGATGAAGCGAACTTAGCGAAGATATATCATAGATTGAAACAACTGTCTGATTTATATGGCTTGACATCCTTAATATAGGATGACCAAAAAATGTTCCCCACTATGAATTGTGGAAATTTTATAGCGGCCGGAATAACTATCATATGGGTTTTATATACCAATGATCTTTGAATTGTGAATATAACCAAATGTGAAACCTCCAGAATCACTACGCGACCGTGCAGTAGCGAGGCTAGACATGGGAACAGGTCATGCTAAGCAAATTTGTAATGATTTGCATTGAGAAGTGAATTGTCTCTAACCAATTTTAGTCCGTTTGCTGCGTCCCGTTATCGTTCACGTTGATTAAGCATGTCTTGAAACTGAAATATTTTTAACAACGTCTGCGAGCAGGCTATAAGATTACCGCTTTACATCGTTGTTTAAAACATTCTGATCGCATGTAAGGAATTATTTCTCATCCCAGATAAATTATTACGAGGAAATATAAAGAAATTTTCTTAAGAAAGAGTTATATCAACACGGCTCTTAGCCAATCAGCTTTAGCAATGTTTTTCTAACTTTAAAAACACCAAAATCGTTGAATAATTGTGTCGCCTAGGACTTAGATGTACAAGTTTTCCTAGCGCCAGTTATTGAACTACATTGTAACTCCATCTCGTTAGGTGACACGAAAATATCGGAAATTTCGTCCGGGTATAGCCATAGGCGAGATGTTTCGGTAAGTGGGATCATATAAACATGCAGGACGTTCATTATTTTCGACCGCGGTTTCATCATTTAAAGTTCGATCCTATTCCCATGCCTTACATCATTATCTTTTGCTCTAATTTGTATGAGTCTTGCCAACTTTCCATTCACAAACCTGACAAAATACTTTTTAATGTAACTTGGTCAATAAATGGTTCTAGAACACAAACTGTTGGTATACGTTGTTTTGGCCATGTAACGATCAACGATCGCATAGTTATTTTATCCAGTATAAAAAATAACCTACATGCATGATCCTTTTATCAAAGTCATGAAGTTGGAACCCAAAAAACATGGGGGATATTTTTACCCTCTGCAGTATCTCGAAATATGCTATACGTCTTCATTGTACCAAACTCCACATCGGGTTAGGGGAGATGGAGCTCAAGAAACGGAACATGATTCAACAAGAAATTTATCATATATAGGATATGCAAATTTTGTATACAGGGAAATATAATCTCAACCAGATATGTATGTCCAAGATCGCACCTTAAATTCTGAATGGGAAATTATTTATTAACTCCTTTTCGACCGGCCCTGTGAAAACTATTGCAGAACTGCAATAGTATTTTGGAGGTTCATATCTTCGGTTCAGTACATGCTACGTAGATTAAAATACCACCACACTAATGTTTTCCCTAAGCAACCCGACACTTGAGCACAATAATCGAAATAAGGTTGAATTATGGATTGGTATATTGTTATTAAGGTATTGAATTCGACTGTATCCCGGAGTCGTCTGAGAATAGCAAGGCCTGTGGTGACCTTTTTTGAAATGTGTTCGACATGCGCGGGCCAGTCTAAAGACTTCGTCTATCATTGGGCCCAATGATTTTGTCAATCCAACTCTCTTAATTTCTAAGTTACCTACACTGATAGTCGGATCGGCAGTCACTCGGCTAAGCCTTTTCTTAGAATCAATTATCATATATTCGGTTTTACTATTGTTCAGAGTTAATTTGTTTGCGGAGAGCCAATTTGCAACATTGTTTAAATCTTTATTTAATGTTTCAGTGATAATTAACTTTGATATCGTCATTTGATGTTCCAATTTGGGTATCATCCGCAAACATCTGGTTTTGTCCCGGCGTTTAAATATTTCAGTAAATCATTGATGTAAATTAGAAATAACAATGGGCCTAAACCAGAACCCTGAGGTATGCCTGTTTTCATAATTCGTGGACTTGATAGTTTGCCATTCACACAACAGCACTGGGTCCTATTTGATAGATACGACTCCAGCCAGCGATGTGCCGTTCCCTTTATTCCATAAGTTGCTACTTTGTCTAAGAGTATATTGTGGACGACAGTATCGAATGCTTTTTTCAGATCCAGAAACAGAATCCCATTTAGTTTCCCAATGTCAATATTTGTATACCAATTGTTGGTTAGGTCCAGTAATGCTGTAACGATTGAGTGATTTGGTCTAAATCCGCGTTGGGAGTTTGAAAGTAGATTATAGTTACGTAAATAATTATAGATTTGGTTATGAATCAGCTTTTCCGCAATTTTAGTAATTTGGCAACTACTGATATAACTGATATTGGTCTGTAGTTTGTCATTTCATCTTTAGCTTCAGATTTAAAGATCGGAGTAATTCTAGCGATTTTCCAATCATTGGGAAATATGCCTGTTAAGATTTACTGGTTGAATATTGATGTTAGGGATGGTGAAATAACTGCTGCCGAAAGTTTTAAGATACGAGAGGAGATACCATCGATTCCCGATGCTTTATTGGGCCCTAAACCATGAAGTAGAGTCAAAACATCATTTTCTGAAATTTCTTGAAAGCTAGGGAGCCCATTAACTGGATGGTGTACATCACTGAAAAAACTATCCGGTAAAATATTCGATCGAGGAATTTTATTCGCAAGTTTTTCCCCTACACAGCAAAAAATCATTTTCTTATTAAGAAAAAAATTCTTAATTTAAGAAATTATTTCTTAAAACGAGAAACGGATTTTCTTAATAAGAAAAAGATTCTTAAAATAAGAAATATTTCATTGGCAAGATATTTTTTCTTGAAATAAGAAAAAAAAATTTTAACATATCTTGAATTATATTTGTTTTCTTAAACCAAGAATGTATTTTCCTACGATTTTTTCATCTTCATATCAATCATTTTGTTAAGAAAAGATGATTTTCTTGTTTTAAGAAATACTTTCTTAAAATAAGAAATCAAATTCTTAACATAAGAATTATATTTGTTTTCTTAAAACAAGAATATGTTTTCTTACGATTTTTTCATATTCTTATCAATAATTTTCTTAAGAAAATAATGGTTTTCTTGTTTTAAGAAATAGTTTCTTAAAACAAGAAATCAAATTCTTAACATAAGAAATTATTTCTTAAATTTTCTTGAACGGAAAGAAAATTTAAAATTTGTTTAAAATTTAACTACAGGAACTATAAGATGGCATTAAATTCTTGTGTTTAAAGACATAAATAACATATTTTGTATATAGATTCATTTTAATTGTATAATACTTATTTTTAGAATAATCTGCATATGTATTACAAGGACCGCGGAGACTGTTTTTAAGTGTGTGTGTGTGG